TCAGTAAATATAGTAAGTCGTACGCAGATGTCATTCGCACGGAAGGAAGCAAGCACAAGATGCCGAACACCCTTAGCAGGATGCAGCGCACCCTTCATGCGACTCGCCGACTACCTCACGGCGCTTCGCGCTTGGTGATGTGAGAGCCTGTTCCGGTGAGAACCCGGCGTGCTTGTAGGGATGCGAGGTCAATGGTCTAACGACTATGGCATTCACCACGATGAGTACACCCCCCCCCTTCCCCCGCTTCAGCTTGCCTGGATCACGGACACCCGAGAAACGGCGAAGTTGGACGCGTCACGACGGTCTCGCCAGGACGCGGCCGCAGCTGCCGACCAAGAAGCTGAAACCGTCCAAATGGTGAGAAATCTTGTTCGAATTGATCCCTGCGCTGGGAGAATGCCACGTATGACTTGTCCCTGCCCTGGGAGTATTCCAGAGCGTGTCCTGTCACGGGAGGACGAATTCACCACGCTAGGGAAGGACGCTAGAAGGGTGGAAAACGTGTAGGGTGGGGATTATGTTGCTTCTCAATGTTGCGGGGGGAGGCATTGCGTGCGTAGGGAGGTAGAAAGAATGAGGAAATAATGAGGAAACATCGAGGTTTCATTGTTTCTTGTGCAACTGTGTGTGGCCCAGCCATTGTGGACTTGATCGATCGAACACGCAGTCAAAGCACCAGGAGTCTCCCGTGCCAATTCGTCGTCAACTTCATCCCAATTTTCTGATCTTTGCGTACTCTCAACCTCACGTGGTACGTTCGATCGACAGGAACTAGCGAGTATCCTGGATACGAGACACACCCTGAACAGCACGCAATGCCTCGGCTGGCAGGTATGCGACAAATGAAGCCTCTTTCTAGGGGAGTCGTATGACTCACGCCGCACGCGGTTGAGTCGACACCGTACAAATGTTGACAACCAGACGTAAGAACACAAATGCACCCGGTAAATGTAGCACATACGATGTCTCACACCAAAGATTATGTCTCTACAATGCCCAACTTTACAATCCTTGCGATGGACCTGTTGTTGTAACGGACCCCGCTCCTGTCTTTCTCTACGGCCCCGACGTATGCCTATTCCAGAAGACATGCCTATCAGAAGAGACCTACGGTAACCATACCTACGAATGGTGGGCGGACGTCAACGGCTCCGTCGCTAAGGTGAGAGAAATGAAAGGTGTGGTGTTGCTCTCCCAGGTTGGCGCATCGTTTAGTCCATCGCCGATAAGGATGGCGATCGATACTGGTGAACGTCACGATTTCGACCCAACATACTTCCAAAGAAGGGCGACGGGTCGCGAATGTAGAATCTGCGAGACCAAGGTCGAGTGGCTGGCTTGGAAAAAATACTCCAATGTTTTCTTACTTGGTGGTGTTGGTGTACGAGGTAGAAGCGCTGTGACGGCAATATTTCACGTGCACCCTTCTGCTGCCGCAGCTCGATACCGTCTGCCGTTGTGGGCTGCCATAGAGAGAAACGCGTGACGTCCCTTGTACTCATTTAGTGTAACATTTCAATATGGAAAACATTACAATTTCTTTGCTATTTCTGACAGTTCGCTCCGCTACGTAATACACACTCTCCTGTCTCATCAACTACAAGTGACGTTTCATGTTGCGTTAGATAGCGGGAATGCCTAATCCACAGCCATGTGCACCAAAGAAAACGCCGCACCCACCACAACAACTTGAACCAAAAAATAGAGTCTACGCGGGGAGAATGCCTCCTGTCCATGCACGATCGTGTTCAACACGTCAAGCCTGATCCTTGAGGGCGCCATTTCGGCCGTGGGGGAGCTGGCGCTCACGGCGGAGGGGACGGAGGTCGCTGTGTGGTCGTTCGATCAGGCACGGCTTTGATTGTTGTTGATATTTCCGCTGTTGTTGCCGAGCTGGACATTGTTGTTGTTGTTGTGGCTATCAACGTCGTCGTTGCTGTTGTTGTCACGATCCTTTCATTGAAACCTACTTTCTGCAGATCTCTGCCATTAAAAAATGTGTCAGGCGTGGGTGCCTACACCTCGACGACAAAAACGGAAATCAAGCCGTCCGTTGAGACGTCGTTGGAAAACGACACCAGCACCATCAGCGCATGGCCAACGCCCATAGTCCACCAAAATCAACAACGTGGTCCAGTATCCGCCCAAGCGCACGATTACCCTGAAGTCAGGGTAGGCACATACAGGATAACAACGTGTTTTGTACCACAAACCGTCCGCATATAATGCAGCCTTTCGTGAATCTTTCCCCGCACCCTCTCAAGGATCTCGTCACAATTCAGAACTGTGACCAGCGGCCTACAAGACAAGGCTAAACCACGACAACATTCTGAACCCTTCCCACACCCCACACGCCTCCCGCACCAAAAAAAAGGTCTACCTAGGACCCGAGATCACGGTCCGAGTCACCGGCCAGCGGGCCTTGGCGATCCTTAGCCGCGGCAGCCTTGTCCTGAATACCTCAATCACGGCCGAGCCTTCCACCTTGGGTGGCTTTCCGGGAGGGGGCGGGATAGCTCGCAACCCCGGAGGGGAGGCCGACCTCCTGCTCTCCCCCCCATCCGTCCCCCCGGACTTCGACTTAAGCTCCTTGGCCAATGGGACGTTGGAGAGAGTCGGTGAAAGCGGACTTCCGAGCTACAACGTTAACGGGCCGGGGTCCGCCAGCTACCGGTACTACTTGTTCACCATCACCACTTCGGCGGACGACGTGGACGACGTGCAAAGGGTGAGTTTTAGTTGGATTGTGCAGGAGACAGAGAGGCTGAGGCCAGAGTTGGTCAGGGTCCTCTGGAAATGATGTCATGAGTCATCGCACTGCACTACCCTCTGAATAAAGTTCTTTCGTGCACCAGAAAGGGACATTTCGGTGCCCACTCCCAACCCAGTCGACCACGGCCAGGATCTGAAACAGGGAGCATAGGAGTTGTCCAGCTCTGGTGCCTGCTGCGAGTACTCGCTCAACTCCGATGCAATCGCTTCGTTCCTCTTGCCAACATTTCGACAGGTCTGCACCTCAGCTGACAAAGGTCAAACCCTTCGCGGCTGCTTCCACGTCTCCCACGGTAACTTCTCCACCGAGTGCATCCCCCACGACGCACCGCCTTCGACCGTGCAAGATATAATCGAGGCCGGCCTGAACGCGGAGCCGGTGGGAGGCCCGGGGCCGCTCCCATTCCCCCGCTCCACTGCGGGTGATACCGGTGCGGCAGCCGATGGGGAACCTTCGTGGGTCCCTGGGGTCGGGCGAGTGAATGTGTCAAGTGACGGTTACGTCGACGATGAGGGCGGCCGTTGCTGGACCGTAACCTTTTCCTCCGCCATTGGCGCGGTCGATCTGATGACGGTTTCTGCTACGGGTGACGGCGAGGCCGAAGGGAACAGGCTGACCGGTCTCGGCGCCGCTGTCTCCGTGGAGACCGTGCAGGTCGGCAACGCCATCTCCGGAACCTTCTCGGTAAGGTTCCGAGGCGGGGGAACAGGAGAACCCACCCATGAAACGGCCCAGCTGCCGGTGACGGCTTCCGCCGCGGCGGTCTCGGAGGCCCTCCTGGAACTCCCAGGCGTTTCCTTTGCCCGGACGACCCGCACCCTCCCCGCCGAAGCCGTCGCGGCCGGCTGCAGCGACGGATTGTGTCGCGTCGGGCCGGCCCCCGGGGGAGGGCTAGAGTGGATCGTGGAGCTAGGGACGCGAGTGGGGAGCGCTGAACCGTCGTCTCCTACCGTAGTTGTCGGGGCTTGGGAAGACGGAGGAGAGGGGGTACAAGAGGGGGAGTTTGACTGGCCTGAGGTAGAGGGGAGTAATCTGGAGGGGGAGGGGGCCGAGATACGGGTGACGAAGGGGTGGGGCGGGTCGCAGGAGCAGCTGGCGGCCAGCTTCAACGCCTCACAGCCGTTTTCGTTCGCTTTAGGAGGGGCTGGGGCTTCCCATGGTGAGCTATGCTCTCTTTCAACATCAGTCGGGTTGGATTGCTATCCCGGTAGAGTTATCGCCTTCCTCGCACGGGCACCGAAGGTCCTTCATTTTCTTTGTGTGCTCACAACATCGTTTTCTTTGTGCTCGCAACGGTATGCAACGCTCCGTAGCCCAATACCCGGCCATTTACACCGACACCGCACAAAAAAGGTGGGACAGGAGGGCTCGGAGCCGATCAGTCTCCGGCGTCCGGCGCGCCCCGAGAACCGTACTCGACGTCCTCGGTCCCCGACCTCGTCGGCGGCAGCGGTGGGGCTCGTTCAGGCCTATCACCGGCCGCGGTTAACGCCCTCGGGTTTTCCGAGGGCTCGAACTCGTCGTCTCGGTTGCTGCGAGGCCTGGGCGGAGCCGGCGGCGGTGCCATCGAGCTGCTGGCCCTGAACGACCTGACGATCGGGGTCATGGGCTCTGTCGCCGTGGACGGCGGCGACGGCGCCGCCGACTGGGATAGCGGCGGCGGAGGCGGCAGTGGCGGTTCGGTCGTCATTGCCGCCGGAGGGGCCGTCCGACACGCCGGGGCGATCAGTGCCCGTGGCGGGAACGGCGGCCGCACGCTTCGGCCCCTCTCGAAGAACGCCGGCGGGGGGGGCGCCGGGGGGCGCGTGGTGTTGTACGGACAGAGCGTGGACGTTGTTGGTGGGGAGGGTGCCAACGGCGAGGAGAGAGGGACCGCAGATGTCGGGGGTGGCAGGTGCGTGGCGCGTGGAGAGAGAAAGTAGTGGCTAGGATCGGTTGGGTTCGCGACGAGGAACTCGGCTCACCGGGAAGGGTGTGGGTTTTTCCTTGGCCGCCAAGCACCTTCAACCATCGGGCCCTTGACTGTCCAAGTTTCTTTTTCTTTGTGATCGAGTTCAACGAACCACCCCCCTCCGACTGACGCATGCCTCTCCCACCTAACCGCCTCGCTACAACCTCCTCCCCCGGTTCGGAAAACCATCGGATTTCTTGCTTCTTCCGATTCTGGAGCAGCTGTTTTGTGACGACTAAATCCGGGGACCTTCGAGATGACGCATGCGGGGGCGGCCGAGCAGGGGGAGAGGGCTCCTTCAAAGTTGACGCGGCCTTCGGCTATACGTTTGGTATCGACGACGGTTCGGGGCTCGGTGGAGCGGGGGCACAGGTAGTGCAGCGTATTATGACTTTAAGCTCAGCCCGTTCAGTGATCCGATCCATCCGCGCCAATGTTTTTACAGAGCTTGGGACTGTTCTGTGGTAGAGCGGATGGGGGGGGGTAGGGCCGGAGGTAAAGAAGCTGATGACCCCCAAGCTCAACCCGTTCAGTGGTCGTGCCGTATATGCAGGGCACAAACTCTTCTTTGTTGCTGTCGAGACACGACGGGACGGTGGATTCCTCTTCCGGCCAGCCGTTTCAGGCGTTTCGGGCCTATGACGGGCCCGAGTACGGCCTTCTTCGAGGTAACGACAGCGACAACGGCGACGAGACAACGGCGCTCACGCCTGAACGAGTCACTTTTTACATGAAGGTCCGTGGAATGTCTCAACCGCACCTGGACATGCAATCAGTTAATGAGCTTTCACCCAATCTTAGTCGAGTCAGTTTTCCGCCACATGACCCAAAACGAACATGCTCGGCTCAACGTTCTCGGCTTTCATTTATTGGAACTTTTCGTTCTGTCATTCATCCGACGTATGGAATTGTCCACTAATGGCCACAGTGAACCAAACTCGGGCTGTACTGTACGTATTTTGTACCAGCATATCCTGACGTTTGCTGCCATTCCTCCACAGGTTGCTGCAGCGCAAGGAACCTCTCTTGAGAGTTCTTCGGGGGATCTTCACAGCAACAGTTCCGACTCGAACCACGCCTCCGCCGCCGAATGGGGCGCGGTGTTCGCCCTTCTTGGACCGGGGACGAACGATTCCTCCTCGACTTCGGCTTCTTCTCGCTCTTCCTACAATGCTTCCGACTGGGCGGAAGCACCTGTTCTCTACGACTCCTCTGAACTCTCTTCGGCATCTTCGTCTTCAAATACCTCGCCCACGGTACGTGATGCTTGTTCAAAATTACACTTTTTGACCTTTGATCGAGGGAATTGTGGATCTACCTATGGTCAATGTTGTCCGCTGGCTAATCTTCTCGTTCAAATCCTTAACTCGCCGGGTCGTCGAATTCATCTTTGAACATGGTGCGTGTTTGGGTTACATGTCCCCGACTAGAGATGTACCACACGCTTGGAAACAGCTTTACCTCTCACCCAAGTACTTTCCATACGTGCAGAATGTATGCACACACATCTGAAGTGCTTCTCCCCAAGCTGCACGCCCCACTCCAACCCGAATCCATCTCGTACTCGCCTTCCCGCTTGCCAAAGTACTCAAATCAATGCCTTCCAGATTTGCGGAGGTATACGTGGGTGTCTTGTTGCCATAAAAATACAAATTTTGATGCAGACAGAAGATGCCACGAAACAAAAAACATCTTGTTTGGAGAGCCAAGAGGCGTGTGGAATTATTGCACGTCTTCATCCCTCAACCAACAGCGCTCCCGCCCCCACCCCCCACCCCCAAAACAAAACTAATTCAGGCAGGATCATTTCCCGCGCCGAACACTACCCTCGTGGGCGTCTCCATTTCCGGGGGCGTGATGAGACACGGGGCTGGATACCGTTCTGTCCCCTGGGATCCTGGGGAGGAAGAGTCTGCTGCGGGGGGTGGGGGGGGAGTGCTCGACGACAGAGTGGAAGGCGAACGCTGGTACAAGGTAAGGTACTCCTGAGTGTGTACAGGTGTCATGTCGGGCGCGACGGGGACGTATAGGGACATGAAGACAAGGAAGAACATTGAGCTCCCTTCACAAACTGGGTATCATCTGCTAACTGCAGTAGCTTCGGGCGCAGGGAGAGGGCTGGTTGCTGTTGGTGACTGAATATAGTGACACTTAGGGAGGTTTCATTGCAAAGGGAGGGCATGCTGGCAGCAGCATGGGATAATATTGGTGACATGTTCATTCCAACCTGGACGTTCTGTGCATGATAATCCCGAGAGGGAAGGGCAAACCATGTTTAGCGTTCGTGGAAATAGTTTTCGCCACGAACGGGTTCTCCCACAATGTGTCGAAGAGGGTGGCCAGGTTGTGTTGATGTGTCCATCAGATTTGAAGCACCCAATACACTACGTATCGACGACCAGATGATAACATGAACCAGCATGGCTTCCTTCGTGCATTCACGAACATAGGTAGATATTATGATGCGATGGGACGCCAACGGCACCGCGGGAGAGTACGATGTGCTAGTGGACGGGGTAGCCAGAGCGGAAGACCAGCCTTTCGGAACAGCGCTGTCAACCGTTCGCGGAGTGGAGAGGGTCGGTCTGTACGTGCTCGGCGAAGGGAGGGTTTGGTTCGATGAGATTTACCTGGGTCCCGACTTTACCATGGGTGAGATTGAGGGCGACATAGGTTCTTTTATTCTAGCGCGAGGTTTTGCCGTCGGAAAACCCGGGATTCTCGGTTTCCCACGTTGAGACTGCAGAGGCTTCCGGAGGAGGAACAAACCGATCCGCAAGAAAGACTGCCCACGGATGCCATGTTGTTGCCGCGCTGTGATCGTGGGTGCGACGCGGAGATTGAGCTAGGCGCGCAGTGGGCTCAATGTACAAGTGACAAGACACAGAGTTCGAATATTCTCTTTCGGTCTTCGAAACAACAGGTTTCAGGTGTCCCGAATCGTCGCGGAGAGGGGTGGAAACCAGGAACGTCGGGAGCCTCAAGAGGTGGGAAAACCTCGTAGACCCGGGACAGAGCGAGAACAAGGTCATGCAACGGCACGAGAACTTTCTGTCCAATACAGAAAAGGTGACTGCTACTTTACGCACGACTTTGTTTCTCACTTCTGTGCAATTTGTGCCAGTGGTATTCGGCGTTGTTCCGTGCCTGCTTGAACTCAAGGGGAGGGGGTACAGACTTTCCGCAGATAAGAAGTACGTGGCAGCGAAGGCGCGGAGTGGGACCCTCTTTCGTCGCAGCAGCAAGACGCCGCTCAGTTGACTTCCCCATCTTCTTTTCGCCCCAAAACAGCCGCCCCGCCCCCCCGCGTTTCAACCCTCCCTTAACCCCCTACCCAAACCAGACACATGATGTTCTCGGTGAATCGGTGTCATTACCGGAGACCCGTCGTGCCCCTCAGTATCTTACCTCTTCTTCATCCCACCTCCCGACTGGAAGTATTTTCCAATCAAACATTGGGAACGAACGAGAGTTGTTCGACTGATCGGGTATTTGAATACCGTATGATTGAGCAATTGTACCACACCAGCAGCCACCAATGCCTGATTTTTGCTCCAACCGCTTCGAAACCACGCGATCAACGACCCCCCCGCCACCCTTGCGGGATAACCTCCCCCCGCAACCCCTCCCCCCCCCACGCGCGCTGGTCACCCGCCACAAATTAACACTACGCAGTACCTTATCAACCACGGGGGACTGGTGCCGTTCGATGGGGATGGGATGCGAGAGTACCTTGTCGACGACTACGTCCGGGACAGCAATGACCCCCCGCTCGTGGAGGGCTTGCGGGCAGGATCGCTTCTGGAGATGCCGCGTGGCGAGGTAAGCTAACTAGCCTGGCAATCCCTTGGCGAGATTGGTTGGAGTGATGCATATGCCTCTTTGCGCAATAGATCTACGTCGGGCGATCTCGCATGAGATTGTTTGATATATTTTTTTTGTGCCCGGCACTCATACACGGCTCCGTCGGGGAGAGGGTCTGCAAATGACCCCGTTCATTTTCGTGCAGCACGAACTCGATCCAACATGACCCAGGTCACGACATCAACCCTGTCGTACCTTGCAACATGTCTGCCGGAGATCATGAAGCGGGATTGTGTCTGAAATGGGGAACAGCAGGAATATCAAATTTCATGCGGCCTGATCCGCCCCATATCGGTCCGTCTGTGTGTGCAACCAGTACAGGACTTTGTCGGGAAGAGACCCTTGCGCGAGGGATCTGCGAGGAGCTTGGACGACGACGGTCTCTGGAGTTCTGGTAAGGGAGCACATCTTGACACACAACAAAACTACCTACATTCCTTCACACAATACGTTGTGTTCATCAATCTCACCATTTCGTGCAAACGATCGTTGTGTGGCAAGAAGTGTAGTAGTAGAGTAGAAAATGGGCCAATCGCGCCAATCAGGTCAATTTTCCAACGTTTCTTGGAGTTCTGTCGAAGCGGCGTGCTTTCGCAACACAGATACATACCAATACATCAAATGTTCTCCTCAAGACCAGTGTAATGACAGCTTGCCAGACCTACCGTCAAGAAACCTGGCCCGATCACTAAGTACATCCGGTTCCACGAAACACCAAGCTTTTTCACGACACATATTTCGCTTCCAACGCTTGTGCCCCTGCTTCAACCTCGAACGGCGTGTACTCTTTGTCATCGAAACTAGAGTCGTTAGAGCTTTGCACTACACACATTCTTGCCTCGTCTTTTGCGACGTGTGGCGTGTGCCCTCATCTAAGATCTTAGTCAATGGTGTATGCCACCATACCGTAGATCACAGCCTACCCGTACGCAGTACTTCAACCGCGAACAGGTTCTTCGAAGGCTGCGTCGCTCGTATTGGTAGAAGCTGTCGTTATCTCAACACAAAGCATTGGCACTGTTTGATCTGTTCTGCCCGCGATTGCAGACCGTCGCTCACGTGCCCTCCCCCAACAATTGACGGCAACCCCAATAATGGAAAAGTAGATGCATCATCCGCCGGCCGTGGGAGTGGCCCACACCAACCCGGTGGTACACACTACTGGTACGGCGAGCATGAGATCGAGGAGACATTCTCCAGCGCTAACGTTGAGGGATACTGGAGGAGCAGCGAGGAGTTTGGCAGCTGGACGGGAGGTGTGGGCGCGTGCTCTACCGACGACTTCGTCGACTGGAGGTGCCATGCTAAACCTGTTAGTGTGGGTGTTGGTGTTGGTGTTGTTTTCGGTTGGAGCATGCCAACGAAGGGGTTGTCGGTTGTTTACTCATTGCCACTGCAAATGTGGCGTTGAATTTGGTATCTGGGGCTGGTACTTTGATTCCGAAGAGTTGTCCAAAGGGGCCGCTTTGCCGGTATAGTTTCCTGCCCGAAAATACTATAAAATTGCGACGACGTCCCAAGAAGGGTACACGGGGATGAGCGGCGATGGCTCTGGAGAAGGCTTCAGTGGCCGCAAACGATGGGCTCGACCCATTTGGAAGCTTGATCCGAGGAAACTCTCCCAACAAACTAATGAGTGTACCATCAGTAGTGCCCGAGGGCCACAGTTTCACGTGAAAGTGGTGTTGCCCTCACGCTGTTGGAACTCCCAACGGAGTGACATGCTTCTTCCTAGAATATCGTGCAAGGTTATTGGACGTTCGCCACAAAGATGTCTTTAACAATTGTCGACACGATCTTGACACGATATTTACACGATGAACCCGTCACGTTTCCCCCCGACTCTTTGTGGGTGCCATATGTTTACGTAGGTTTGAGGGCGTGATGCTGCACTACGCCAACGTGTCGGACATGGTGCTGGGCCGGGAGCCCGAAGGGGGGATGGTCCTTCAGCAGCCCAAAGTGAGAACAACACACCTTTCGTGCAACAATTACCGACTATTGTTCCAGATGTGATTACACCCCTCGAAGCAATTTTTCGGCTGATCACCAACAAAGAGCAAATACTGCCGAAGCGAGGCAGTTGACGTTTTTCACCCCGACGCAAATATGCACACCGTAAGATTGCTACAAGGCAGGTTTCTGCCTTCAGCACTAAAGCTTGTGCCTGCAAGACTATCGATCACCCCCTCAGATGGCCGTCACCTCACCGCCTGACCTTTCCGCGTAGACTCTGCGCCTGGAAACCACAGTGGCCAGCAACAGCACGACCGGAAATAGTAGCAGCAGCAGCAACTCGACGGGCCTGTCCGAGAGCGAGGGTACGTTCGTGATGTGGATGGGTGCGGGGGAGTCGAATGGAACCTTCGGCCTGTCCGCCGTGGCCACCAGTGGCTACCCCGACGGGCCGTTCACCCTGCGCCGGACGCTGTACCCGGACGGAAACGAGACGCACGACCAGACCGTTTTCATCGGTGGGTGTTAACCGGAGCGGGCCCCTGCTGCATATATTTTGCCGATTAGAATGTAGGCTCTGTTCGTTAGTCTTTACTGCCTGGATATGTAGTTTGCGATACTCCCACCATGCTATGCTTGCCGGATGCTTTACGCTGCCGAGCACGGTCAGATCTCCTTTTCAGAAAAAGGGTTCAAAGCACCACACCAGGCTAAGCTACGTCCCTCCTCCAAAAGCAGGCGCGGACGGCAGGGGTTACCTTGCGCGCACCTACTACGCAGAGATCGAGTACGTGTTGCCCGGCGCTGTCATGCAGCCTGTATGGAGCTCGGTGGAGCACCCCGACGGGTCGGTCGATTTCGGGCTGAGCTACCATCGGGCATTCTACTCGCCAGACTACGACGACTACCATGACATTTACATTCAGAGGTACGGCGAGCAGTCCGGTTCAAGGTCTGTATTGTGTTCGGCAATCTTGCATCATGGTTCTTTAAATTTGTTGTCAATTAGGACCCCACGCGGGTTTTCCTTTCGTACTCATCGCACGTGGGTAGGAGAAGTATGACGTACTACGGTGACTGAGTGTACCTCGACCCCCTGTTACTTGCCGATTGCATGTTAAGGTTTGATTTCCTCAGCAATTACGATGATTACCAGCTGCTTACGGTGAACCATCCCCCCCGCCCACCCAAACTATTTTTCTCTCCAAATTCCCAACTCGCCGCGAACCCACAGGTGGCGCATGGAGGATTTGCCTTGGAAGGTGACTTGCGTGAACCGCATCACGGGAGAAAGTCGCGACGTTCCATACGGAAGCTTCAACGAAGACCGGGGTTACTGCAATCAACCCGAGGAGTATAAGGTGAGCGAGGGAACAGTTGAACAACAACAGGTTGGCAGGACCCCAGTTTACAGGTCTACTGAACCACATGGTCCCCTTGTGCAGCACGAGACCGAAAAAACAAGCACTCAAACGTACAACGCAAAGAGGGAATAATTTTTAATCGTGCCCGAAAAGGAAGATCTCGGGGGCAGCGATAGACCCGAAGGAATACGTACTGCTTTTGTGTCATTCTACATACTGACTCGTTCGATGTCTTCGGAAGTATTAATGAACTCATATGGGGGGGTGTAGTGAGCTGGGGCGTTGTTTTTTTCGATTCGCTGCTGTGGGCTGAAGGAACGAAGTCAACAATGAATTTCGTACGGTTTAGAATGACACCGCGGAGGGAAATTTCAATTGATGTCCGTTTTCAGGTCATTCTCGGGCAAGGTTATCCCGTAGTAAGCTCCCGCTTCCAGGACCCGGACGACCGCAACAATTCCTACTGGTCGCCGAACTCGGTCCCCTCGGTCAAGGCACAGTCTTGGGCGGCCAACTATCGGGATGGTCTCTGCGGGATCCGGGAGATGGGAGGGGAAATGGACGAGGATGACCCCGGGCTGGACGACCGGTAATGTTTTTTTGCGTCTTGTTGATGTACTAGTTGGTGTGTTGGTAGGCAAAACACCTGTGCGATGTTGGTTTTAAGGGGCTTGTGTGGTTTGGGCCGAGTTTGTTTGGTGGTACTTCTTGAAGTACGCCATGACAGAGGCAGGTCTGTAGTGCAGGAGCTATTCTGTTTGGACGCATGTGTGTATTACATGCGACAACACTGTCGCCCGAAACGCAATGTTGCCTACATAAACTCCGACTACTAACCGTCTTCCGAATCCTATCCTACCCTTGGGAACGTATTATTCAATACCAGAACGGCGGTCAACCGCAGCGATTGCTCAAACATCGCCGACAACCCAATCCACGATACTGTACCGGACAAGCTGGTGGGGACGAGATTAGTGGTCGAAACGCGACTGGCCAAGTACGTGGCCGTCTCTATGCTGACCCGCGACCTCTTGGACACCAGTGCGGTGAGGGCTTCCTCACCCATCCATCCATCTTTCCGATCCTGGCGATGTGGTGCAATATCTTTGCTGCGATAAGTTAGAGGAACCAATCATGCCTACCCAAGTAGGCGGGAGCCAGGCATCTAGGGGAAGCTACGACATGGGTGTCAGACGTGCCATCAAGTCCAGGGATTTTGTGAGCCCTGTCGTGGGTTATCGCGAGATGCAACGAACGTGAGTGCAACCCCACCTACCTTCTTTGCAATGTTGTGGTACAGGTCTTGACCTCCTTTGAGGGCGAGTTGGAAAGCCAGGACGACCTGATGACCCTCATTTCCGGGAGCGGGTACGACTTCTTCGACTGGTCCTCCGGAGCAGACATCAGATCAACGTTCCACCCGCAGGTATGCAAGAAGACCGGGTTGACACGCATAATCCAAGTTCGTACATATGGACTCTATTTTCTTTTGTGAAAATGAATAAGCTTGGTCAGTCCGGGTGCGTAGACGCTACCAGACCATGGGGACTACCGGGTACAACACGTTCGTTACACTTTAGCCCCCCTTCGCCGCGCGAGATGTCACGTGACCTGACCGACCACTTAGACATCACCGTCGAATCGCTTGGCGTTGTGGAGATGCGGAGAAATTGGGCAGGACAAGAGGCATGAGGTGACAAGAACCCCCCTGCCCGCCTCCGTGGCACTCTTATCAATACGTTTTTTCCTAGGTGTTCGGCGACTACGAGACAGCACCGGATGTGCTCAGGCGGTTCCACCAGTACGAGTCTTCAGAAAACGATCGCGCGCGCTATTCGCTGGCGTGCCAGCTGGATGGCACGTGCCCGGTCAACTTCAGAGACGAGATCACCGTTGGACATACCTGATCAGAATGTTGGCGGTAGCCGAGGCTTCTCTTTGCGGAGATATTTTAGCCTTCAAGCCGATTAAGCACACACCTTTTCCCAGAACTATGAATTGCCGACGCTAGGCATGGGGAAAAATCTTGTTGAAGCACCCACCCTTGATCTTTGTCGAACGGAGACAGAACGTCACAGACGTGGCAGCCACTTCAAGAACGCTACGGTGGGATCCTGCGGAGTAAGCATCCGTACAGCACGTCGCGTTATTGTCGGAGGCGTAGCAATAGTTAGTCTAAATTCGTCGTTCGTTTAAACAGGTGCGGCCCTCACTCAATCAAGTAGTTGGTAATCGTGAAGGAGATGACATCAGAACTTCGCAAGTAAATTCGAGGCGACTCGTGATGCGGGAAAAGCAGCATCGCGCGCAATTTCTTGCTACTGTAGGTGAAAATTGTAAGCACCAACTTCTGTTATCACCCTCATTTCTGGCAAAAAACCTTTGTTGGACAATCACGATATTTGTGTCAACGCTGAATGAGCGTCAACAGGTGCCATCAACGTCACCCGTTGCTTCTACACGCAAGGTTACATTACTGGGTTCAGACTTGAGAGAACTCATCTCGATATTATCCACACAGTTTACAAACGCGGCGACGTAACGTACAACACTCTTGACGTGACACTATGCACAGGGACCGCTCTTTCTATTGTGTCGGCGCCGAGAAAAAAGACCAAACCAGAGGCCATCACAAACCAAGCCAACTAGCCGACGAACAAGCCGACGAACAAATACTCCCGTTATGAATTCTCAATAGGCCCGGGCCTAGCCCCTACCGCAACACGTCCTGTTCTCTAGGCAACAATACGAAGATTCAATCGTTCGAGAAAAAGTCTTGTCGCCACCCCGTGATTAATCTGGACACGCAAACATGAAAGACATACACTTACGCAACAAAATAGCTTTAAACCGTTTACCACGTGATATGCATATCATTGAAAACACCCGAACCCGGGCACGAAAATATAAATACACGACTGCCTTGTGCATCAGCATTCTTTCGCCCCCACATGGATTGATCGTCGCCTGCGGCTGGTAGTCTAAGCGCCTGCCATCGTGCGGCCCCGGAATAGACACAAGCCTACATTCTACTAGATAAAACACCGTTCACGCATCGCCCTGTGTGGCACGTATGTCCATCCCTCCTGGTTACACAAACACAGCACCAGTCAAAAGACAAGCTTCGGCGCCCCCACAGCAGATTCGCAACCAGAAACAGAGCTGGGTTTCGTCCAGGCAGTCTGGGCATTTGCTCGCCCGCTGTGACTCAACACCCTCCACAATCTTTGGGCACACAATTGATACTTGTGGACTTCAGGCCTTCCGTTCGACCACCACCACCAGTTCTCGCGGCCTCGCTTTCATCCACGCACGCAGGCGCTGGAACACGCCGCATTTTCCCTGGCGCGAGTCAGCTCTTCAGTACAGTCGTTTCCTGCAACCTTGCCGGTGGCGCGGGTACTTGCAGTCGCAGTCGTACCAGAAGTTGTGCCTGCAAATGATGCACGTCATGTGCATGCAGCCGGAGCTCCTCTGGATGGGGACTCCGCAGTTGGGACAATCTCTGGAATGCTTGGAGATCCATTTGTCCGACGTGGGGTCGCGTTCTCCGGCCACGAGGTGCGCGACGTCCATCTGATTTGATTCGCAATCGGGCGCGCCCACAAAGACAAGCGAGGGTTGGTCAAAATGGACCACCAACACTGGGAAAGGGCCACACTCCTGGGGAAACAGTAACCAGCAAGATAGCGGGCGATTAGACACCGCCAGAAGACGCCAAAGGGAAGCATTCATGACGGTGTTCGCCAACGGGGAGTCGACGCCTGTACACATGTGCGAAGAGCAACAACATCTCGCTCTCCGGCCGGCCACAAGCTGCGCAACAAACTCCTAGAATGATTGTGGTGCATCAATGTTCAGCGACAGAGTGAGAACACGAGCACGAGGGTAGCACACTGCAATAGAACGACACCGGAAACCAGAAGCCAACACAGCACCCACGGCATAACAAGGGAAAAACATTTGCGTGGGCGACGAGAATTAACCCAGGGCAGGGCGTTTCAGAAGCGTGACAACCCGTCACAAAGCTCCCGTCAATAGATGCGCCCCTCTTCGGTCGGTTCGTGATTCGTCAAAGATCGTCAAGCACCAGAAAGGATGGGGAGCTACATGGCCTGAAGGTTGGTTGCTGCACCGACATCAACCCAGGCTCTCTCTGTGTGACGATTCGAAAACGTGTTCATCAACCAGATTCAAAACGGTCCCGCGTGGTGTGTCGTTTATGCAACTGAATGCCAGCGGGTACACCAACTCCTCATCTGCAGGCACGCGTCATGAGCAAACGCCTCAGACTGGGTGGCGATTACTCGCTCCAACCTGAAAATTGGTTTGACGGCTTGAATCGAGTGCTATCACGACTAGAGGCATTGGAAGACAACGCGAAGCGTCCGTTCTCTGCTTGTCGAACCGCGAGAAAATCAGAAGCACGAACTCCAAAACCCTCGTAACGGAGGCCCATTATAGTCAGGACCAAATTAGAGCAAATGAAACAGCGTTTATGGGGTGTAACTTTGTAGCAGGTACGTTGATTTTCATTTTGATTTTGGCATTCGAATTTTGAAAGCCGTGCCGTCAATTCGCGCTATCATTTGATCTACTGAAGATCGTACTGCAAAAGTGGAAATCAGGCCCGTTTTTTCGTTTCGGTCCGGACTGTTCTGTGCCTCCGTTATACTACACGTAGGATGGCTGATACTAACCCCCTTTGCAATACTACGGCCGCCGTGCAACCGTCGTCGGAACACCCAAGTCAACCACTGTTCCTCACCTGCTTGGTCTCGATTTTTTTTATGATGGGGATCGGAAGCAATGAGGTCACGGACGGTCCGAATAGATGCCCACAAGTCGATGAGCCCCCGCATTTGATGCGATCCCAAAACACCTGTAGGAGTATTCGCGAAACCGCGCAGAGAGAGCGGGGCAAGGAAAGATACAGCGGTACGAGAGAGAGAGGGAGGGAGAGAGAGAGAGCGAGTGGAGAGGTACAACGATTAGACATGCAGGTAGGGACACAACGCGGGGAAACGTCCCCAAATACAAATCTTGCGTGTTGGTGTTGAACAAGAACGCTGTGCGTCGTAGAGCGCAAAAAGGCCGTCCTCCTGCTCCCTCTCGTAACATGGGGGGGCATACTCTCCGCAAGACATTGTGATAGTCGCAGCGTTCTTATCGGTCGAGTTTATTCCTGTGCGCAATCCTCCAACTCACCGTCGCTCGTCGTTTGGATCAAACACAAGCTGGTGATACGTACCCACGCGGTGTACGCATCAAGCTGGTGATATGTACTTCACAGGCCGAAACTACACGGCCGTAGTTAATAAGCGGCGGTGGGCAGACCGAACCAGTTTCTCACCGTCCCTTGCGGCACGAGGGTCTCCACCACGTAGGACGTGACGCAATTCTTGCACATGGCGTGCCCCTCGGGGCACCGCGAGCATCGATCCACAGCGGTGTCTTCGAAACAAACGATGCAGGTAACTGCGGCCCGCCCCGCCTTCCGCCGTATCTTCCGGGCTGGCGCTTTCCCCTGCCTAGGCACGACTTCAACGGCTTGGTCGGAACCGCTTGCTGCCGCGCTTGCCCCTGCCCCGGCACTCGCCCCCGCCGCCGTTGTTGCTGCCGCCGCCGCCGCCGCCGCGTCGTCGAGAAGCACCACCTCGTCTTCTTGCCTTCTCTCCCTCTTCCTTGCAGTGCCGGCTCCCGACTGGTAGGGACCTTGAACCTGCTGCTTCTGTGGTCCTCCCACATTGCTCCCTGATCCATCCAGCGTTCCGAGACTGCTCGCCTCATAAGCGAGGTCGACCATCTCTGCGCCGGCCGGCAGGAGGGAGGGTAGCGGCAGTGATCGCCGGCGGCGGCGACTATGGACTGGACCCTTGCTCCCGCTGCCGCCTCCGCCGCCGCCACCGCTGCTGCTGCCACCGAAGGTCGCTCTCCTCGCCGGCGCTGGTGTGCCTGAAATATCCCATACACTGGAGCTGAGACTTCTGCCAGCGTAATGCACATCGTCGTTACCGTCGGGAAAGACAGTCAAAGGGGAGGCGGGCGAACCCCGGGGGGACGTGTTCGCCGAGCGCGTACTGCTTTGGGGGGGAGGGGCTGCTGCTGTTGCTGCCCCCGAGAAGCTGGCTCTGCTGCCGCTGCTGCTGCTGCTGCTGCTGATGGCAGTGCTGCTGCCCAGAGACAAAAGTGCTGAGGCGCTGGGTGGCAGCGTTATTGGTAACGCCGCTCCCGCTCCCGCCACTCCTGGTTGCCACACGTCGATCACTTCGTCGTCATTGTCGTTGCCGCTGTTCTTGCGATTGCTGCTGCTGCTGCCGCTGCTGCTGCTGCTGTCACCGCTGTTCGCAGGGCGGGGTACCGAAGAGAGGGAGGACAATCCCAATTCGATGATTTCCGACGTTTTGTGCAGCTCGCACGCCAAGCGGCCTTTCACAACGACGGTGGCCGGGGAGGTGTTGCAGAAGTCGCACGTACTTCCCGGCTGTGGGGAAGGCGGCAGCACGTGAGCCATGACGGCGGTCTGTGTGCACAAAACAGACGCACGGAGATCTAATGATCTCATGAAAAATTGCTCGTTCATGTACAACGTTCTCTTCTTCCGGTGAACAACAAAAATTAAAATTGTGTGGAGTACACAGCAGTCGGCGCAATAAGGTTGCAATCTGGTGTGGGTGCCCTCCGAGCGCCACACAGACGGTCGGGGAAAAACAAACAAACAATATGGCGCAATTTGGGCGCGGAGAGCTTGTTGTCTTGGTCGACACACGCCCGAACAGCGCTACTGCACGGGTGTGGAGGATACTGCTATGATAAAGTTGCAGGCATGAAACGGAGCGTTCATATTCGCTGTCAAAACAGATACTCCATGTCTGTTTTGCCAGCAGACCCCCGCATCACCGCAATTCAGAGACCCATATGACTGCGCATTTCCGACCTGCACTTTACCTATCATGCTTAACCAGACACACCCCGCAATACGCAGTCGTAGGCTGGCTCTACGGCACGATTACATCCCCTCTCAACAGCAGTATGTACTCTACAAATACAAATAAATGGCGGCCAATCTGCGAATTGGTTTGAGACAAAGCAAACATATTTCAACTTCAAGCGACGGTACTCTTCACATTCAACCGTTGCTCCAAGCCCACCGCTGTTTTCACCGGGTGATAGTTCTCAATACCGTGGTTCTCCAGAGGTGCGGAGGAGTCACACACACTGGCTGTCTCCGATAGGGTTGGTGTTTGTTCCAGTCGCTGTCGTGGAGGCGGCGAGCAGGGGCACCGTGAATGAATTGACGTCCGTCTTGAACGGGAGACCCTATTAGCAGGATGGTCCTGCAACGAAATGCTGGAGGATGGAAAACGCCTCCAGAACCAACCCACCACAAACCCAGAACCAAGCAGCGAACCAAGACACACAGAAACACGAGCTGAGAAACACAGCAGTGAGACACAGACACCTGCTCCACAGACCACGACAGACCACACAGGAGATCCCTCATGGATATTATCGGGAGGAAGGTATGCTAGACCACCACTTGACTATATGTGCTTTGTTTGTTTTGGGTTGCCTTCGGGGAATGCATATCTTGCATCGTTTGACGCTCGGACTGTGCCGCCGTTGTCGGCCGACCAAAAAGACGTTGAAAGGAGCGCACGAGGGTAAACGTGTGCATATGCATATGTATCCCCATGATTACAGGACGTGGGCAGTGAAACAGAACGCCCCGTATCCCGGCGCTGCCTCGAATCAGCTGCTGCTGTAGCAGCAAGTAGATTTTGAGTAAGATTTCCTCTGCGGTTGATATTTTCATTGATTCACAGTTGAAAGCGACAGAGCTCGCGAGTAGTCACAAGTCTCCCACGCCGTCGGCCCAGGGAAGGGACTGCTGAACCCTTTCGCGAGTAACCGATGGCACGCACGGCAGGAGGGCGGTGGTGCAAAAACGAAGAGAACGAAGATAAGAAACAAAAGTGGGGTAAAGTGGGGAAAGGCAAGAGAATGAAAAAAATAAAGGCCGCTGTTCACCCCCTCCTTCCCTCCTGTGCGACCACGACGCACACGTCTGGTTGAACAGAGAAACACACCGGTTGGGTGGTACGCTGTGGTGGGAGGTAAACATTATTCGTGATGATCACGCGAAACTAATCCTTCACCCATCGGCTGCCATATGCCCTGTTTCCGTTGCCTGTCGTGCAGGAAAAATGGGTGTACAGCGCTGACGCCCTGAGGAGGGATCTCGAAAACATCCCCACACAGGAGGACATTCCCCAGCTAGTATCGGCCGTGAAGGACGTGTGCGAAGAGCATGGGGTCAAGATGGCCGTGTCCACCTCTACTAAGGAGAAGGGGGGCGGCCGACTGGTCTCGACGACGTTGCTATGCGTACATGGCATGCCGCTGCGCAAAAAAACAGCAAGTAGTGGTGAGTATAACTGCGTAATGATCCCCCTCTGCCCCCCCCCCCCCTTGTTTGCCCCGTGGGATTGTCGACTTAAGGAACACACACGTGATGGGGGTCGTCGCGAACTGGTATAGGGCACCCGCAGTAGGAACCACCCGATTCGGAAATGTGAGGGAAGTGTGTCACCTGGTGTATTGCATCAGTGACTATAGCAAGAGCGACGCAGATTCAGGCATGACGCGCGCTGCAGAGATGAACATGTTGGAGCTTGAGGAATATGTGTTCCATGCAACCTAATGTGTTTCAGTCGGTCTGCTGCCACTCCCCCACCCTTCACCTGTGCGGCAGGCAACAACACGAAGAGCCGGAAAAGCGACAGCCAGAGGACCGGCTGCGGCTGCAAGGTTGGTGCTGCGTGTGTGGGCTCTGCAGCCCTGCGTTGGAAGTTTGTTGTCAAGCAAATCCAGGGCTAGGAGAGACGAGGGGGGGGGATTAAACACTTCTTCTTTCATGTTGCGAGCATGGAAGATAGCACCTTACTCTCCTCTCGTCGTGTGTTTGATTCTACTCTATTTGAATCGGATGGAACGCACCAGCTTGTACACACGTGCGTGGAGGTTCTTGGTTTGTTTTGGTTGACGTCAGCACGAGGTCGAGATTGTTTTGTTGGGGTGGTTCAACCTGCTGGAAAACACCATCAACACGCTGGTTGTGGTTGCTGCGTGACTGTTGTGTCGGACTGACTGGCCTTCAGATCAACATTCGATGGCCGATAAAGACCGACGTCTACAAGCACCCACGGCTGACAACGATGGAGTTGGAGCACCTGCACGCCGTCGACAAAGAGGCTGCGGATGTTCAACAAGCACAGAAGGGACCATTGACTACCCCAATGAAGGCCACTTCAGCGAAGCTCACTGGTATGTCGTCTAGCCTCGCTGGTGATCTAGGTAGTGTCGTTGCCCGCCTCCGTTCCCCGACGTTGGGGGCGAACGTTTGTGTTTCGTTGGCATTGAACTATAACGACGTGCCGTATAGCTTGGACTCTTGCCGCCAGAGACGCATTGATAGGTTGACCTTGTGTCTTGATTATGGATGTGTTCCAAACGCCCCCCGAAGTTGAGCGATGGGTACTCTCTTTTGGTCTGGTATGCCTTTCCCACGGGACACAACGTGTCCTCCCACCCCCCACCCCAACCGGGGCACAGGATAAAATAGGGTAGTCGGAAGTTTGGTGTTTGGCCCAACGAGTGTGTTGTCCGTGTTGGTCGGACAACGTCGTACTTGACCCAACAAGTGTGTCGTCCACGCTACGTCCGTGCGTTTGTTATCTGTTTCAGATGCTGGATTGAAACCGGCCGCGCAAGCGGTCGTCATCGAGGCTCTGCATGACCGAAGAGTGCACCCCCGGACCATGCAGAACGAAGTCATCCGACATCGTGAGGACGCACACCCGTTCGACGCTCAAGACTTGTTGCAGAAGGTGCGAATCGCCTTTTGTCTAGTCTTGTGGTCCTGAACACTTGCTTGTCGGTTGAGGCGTCGTGTTCAAAGCGATGGTTACAATGCGCCCTCCTCCATAGCCGATTACAGACGGCATGTTGTAACCTACCCTCCCCTGCCTTCATTCTTGTCTAGGTCCAGGCATGCACAAAGGACGGAGGAGTGTACAAGGTCAAGCTCGACGAGAACGGACGTCTTTCTCACCTCTTCTGGATGACAGCAGAGCAGGTGTGCAAAATTGGAATTTATTTGGTGGCGCCAACACCGCACCAGCACGTACGATTGAAAGAAAGAACAAACCCTAACACCCCATTGTCCCGAAACGATGGGTGGCGTTTCCTGTGGACACGTCCGCACGCGGGGTCTTTCAAGGCGGAGAGGCCCCGTTATTCCCGTGACGTACATGACGCGTAGTTGTTTTGCTTTCCATTTACGTTTGGCAGCCGGGTCCATCCGGGGAAGTCGCCCACCCACCGCATGTTTGTTCGTCTACATCTCGCCATCACCATTGCGACGGTGTCATTTTGTCGTATGGCATGCGCCATGTCTTGTTGCTTTGTATACCCTCACTGGCCGCCTCCCGAGCTCCCCTATGCCACGTTTTTGTACAGTACACGTTCTTTAGGATGTCGCACACAAGATGCAGTCATGGCGATGCCCCTGTTTTTTTATCGCATCGTGGACCTAACCCTGCTTCATGCCGCTTCCCCATGCCGTGCGCGACATATCTACAGATTGCTCTTGCGAGCCGATACGGCTCCGTACTCCTGTATGATGATACGGCTGTCAAGAACCGGTATCGTCTTCCTCTCGGTCTTGGTGTCGTAATCGATGGAGAATACTTCTCGCGTATTGTCTTCCAGTCACTTACGGTAGACACTACCGCAGTCACATTTGAGTGGGTACTGGAGGAGTTCAAGGCTGCCCGGGGGGCGGCTCCTGATATGTTCCTGCAAGATGCGGACGCGGCCATGGGCCTGGCAGCGGATAAGGTTTTCCCAGATGCTAGGAAACGGCGATGCATGTGGCACCTTGGTCAAAACCTCATGAAGAACCTGAAGAAGGTGCTGGGGTCAGCGTTCCAGGTGGGCGTTGTTTGTACCTTGCCATCGGGCCTCCTGCGCAGCGTAGGTGGTCCCTACTGCCGTCGTCGGTTGCTTAGTTTGACGATCCCCTAAACTACTGCTGTGGCTGTTTCATGGTTCTGTGCTCTGACATGTTCGGCATTTCTTTCTTGGTGCTTGTCTTTTTGTTCCCGACATCAAACAGGCGTTCCTCGATCAATTCTACAAGACTCGTGGCCGGCTCACGGAAAGTGGGTTCGAGGAGGAGTATGCCAAGCTGGTCGAAACGTTCCCGAAGGCGAAGGAGTACATGGCCTACCTTTACAAGGACCGCGAGCGCTGGGCAGTCTACAGCTCGGTCCTGGTCTTCAGTGCCGCCTCTTACACCACCAACAGGGTCGAATGTATGTCAAAGGAGTTTCCCTACGTAACGTGTGCGATGTAGGCGTGTTGGATATGCGCGTAATTCATCCAGTCCCTACCGTCTTTGCCATAGGCTTGCTCACGACGCCACACAGGTTGTTGTAGACTGGTTTCTTCGACCTCATTGCCTGTCGAAAACGATTGCACAATACTTCCGCGAATATGATTCTGTCGCGAAACATGTGCCTGTTTAGATAAAGTTGAGTCGGGGTTTGCTGCGTTTCCAATGCCCATCCTCTGGAGAGTGTCGTCCATGCTGTCATGTGTATCCAAGCGTACTTTCATGAAATGGCGCGACGACAACCTCGTCCATAATTGTTGCCCGCACTTTTTTTTGTGTGTTCCTGCACGCCCCCCCCCCCCCGCCCCCCCAGCGATGAACGCTCAGGCCAAACGTGTCTTGAACTCACAGGCAAGCCTGGTTCGTGTCTTCAAGTTCCTTTCCGATGCCATCGAGAAGCAAGCAGCCCGCGCAGAACTTCGCAGCGCCCAGCTACGCCTTCCATCGGTGTCAACTCCGGATACGGCCACGTACTGGTTCGGTGCGGCACTGACGACGCCGTGCAAGTTCGCGCTGGGCGTGTGGGCGTACAAGTTCATGATGGACGAGGTCGCCATGTGCGCCACGTTCTGCTCGAGTCCTAGCAATGCACTGCTTGAAGGGGCTTCCCGCGATGACGCGCTGGGCAAATTTGAGTACATTGGTATGATGGTCGTTAACGTCGAGACTGTCGCTGTGATAGTGGAGAACCACGACGGTACAGACAAACGATATATAGTCCTGGGCATGACGGACGGCAGCCACCTCTGCTCGTGCCGCACGCTGCAAGAATTAGGTCTTTGCTGCAGGCATTTTTGGGCGGCGATGCGTCTTAGTCGCAGGTACAAGTTTCACGTTGGCATCCTTAACCAGCATTGGCTGGCCGAGCAGGGGCGGAAGCCCACGAGTGAGTGGCCAGAGGGGGCAAAGCCCACCTGGGCCGTAGCCCTAAACCACAAGGCCCTATCTGAGGGCGAAAAACAGGCCCCGCTTGTCGCCACCGGCAGGCTGCAGTGTGCCACCGAGGGCGACGAGGGGGGAGGGGGAGCGGGGGCGGGGGTGCAGTGGGATGCTGGTAACGTGACGATTGAGTCTTCTCTAGTGCAACTGAAGGAGACCGGGCCCACCCCGCAAGACCGCCGATTTCTCTACGTAGACTGCCTCAAGGAGGCAACAGCAGCTGTAAGCTTGGGGGTAGAGACTGTGCCTCCCGAAGCCCTGCGGGCACTAGTGCGGCAATTTAAGCAGGGAGTGCACCAGGCGTCGAGGATAGGATCGTCCGCAGGATTGGCGGTGGCAAATCCAGCTGTCGTCCGCCTGCCGACGAGCAGAGACACCGGCAAACGAAAAAGGGCGTCTCACGAGGGGGGTGCTGTGGTTGGAGCGGCTAGACGGGCGTACAACCAAAGCTACAGTTAATTGCAGGGCCCATGCGTGCAGTGAGTGACACGCATCGTAGAAGCCCCGGCGCTCGGCCCCACATGGTTAGTCTCGGGCCGTCGTCGGCGTTCGTGTTGGTGTGCGTGCTGGCGTGGCGAATGGGAGTACACTATTTTCTTGGTTTCCGGTTGGGCTGGAGACTCGCAAGTAAATATTTGGGGTTATCATAGACCGGAAGGATGCCGGACGTGGAGGTGTGGTGTTTCATGTGCGTGTGCCTGTGCTTGTTCCGATTGTAGGATTAAACTTGCAATTTTAAACGACAGAGGGTGTCCTCAACTTGTGGGCACGCCGGCCGCACGCCGCAAGCGATTGACCAACACCACATGGCTGACGCTCATTTCCCGTAATAATAATATTTCGACCCGCCTGCTTTCAAGTTCTTCATGCCAACTTGTTCATTGCATTGGCGAACACCCATCCGCTCATTTCCTTTAGCAAAGCCCCCCCCCACTCCCGTACTTTACACAGTAGTGGCCTAAAAAAAAATGTTGTCACATAAAAAAAGCGTTTCGATCTCACTACCCAGCTTTCATATGCATAACTGTCCGTACTGATCCAATACTTGACGCGGTCGATTCCCAAGGTCACAGGCTAACTTACCCTAAAAAGGTACACTCAAAAAAATGGACGCGAGGGGTCCGCGAGCCAATTTATATCAACCACAGATGCTGCCGCTGTAGTCTGGAGCCCTCTGCTGCTCCCTCTCTCTGTGCGCGTGTGTGTGATTTCGTCCTACTTTTTTCGTGGTGAGACGTGTACTAGTCTACACTTTTCAGTGTGTGTAGAGTACACTTGGTTCAGTGTGTTTTTGCGTACAACCTACAACACGACAGGAGGGGGGTAAACACCGACACGCTGATAATGTGTCTCTCTACACGCTATGTGAGGTAAGAACTGGAACTGGAAGTCAGCATCACGGGGCGGAGACAGAGAGAGGTACATCCCCTGGTTCAACCTTGCATGTCTGCTGTGTGGGCTGTGTGTAGTCTGCCCGGTTGGGGGCTGTGTGTTTCGTGCTGGTTTCGTGTAGTCTGTGGAGCAGGTGTCTGTGTTTCACTGTGTTTCTGTGTGTCTTGGTTCGCTGCTTGGTTCTGGGTTTGTGGTGGGTTGGTTCTGGAGGCGTTTTCCATCCTGCAGCATTTCGTTGCAGGACCATCCTGCAAATAGGGTCTCCCGTCTTGAACACCTGGTGAGGGTGACGGGTCTACGATCTGCGTGCTCGCCCGCTCCGTTGATCAGGCTGGCCCCCAGCTCGGCAAGCAGGAGCGCGAGGAGGCGGAGGCTATGTCGGGCGCGAACGGTGAACCACGGAAAATCCTCAAGCTCGATGAGGATGTCGTCAACAGGATCGCCGCGGGAGAGGTAAATTAGACTGAAAGTGTGCGCTCCCCCGCTCTTCTCACTCACTTGGCGCCCAGCGTACGGACCTCAGTACCAGAGGGACGCTTTGTCACCGTTGTCCTCCCTCTCCCTGTCTGCGTAGGTTGCCCGTCTCTGTCTCTGAGTTGCACCATGGCTCCGGTCGGCGGAAAGCACTGCCTCGCTCAATCGATTATCAATGCATGGATGATGGACGCCCCGTCTACATCTGTCTTTGAAAATTCAAAAAATTCAAACCGCGTGTCCATGTCCGCTCTTTTCCGACGACGTGACTGTGAGTGGGATGGAACCGCTCCACCGACAAGAGGTTCTCGTTCCGAGCTGAGCGTGCTTCGATGGCTGCTGCATACGCATTTGTGTACATTGTGTACAGTCGCGCCCAGCCGCCCGCCAAATCTAGCACATTCAGCAGTGTGACTAACATTTTTGTTGGAGACCGAAGTGTATGTCACGTGTAGGGCGCCAAAAAGTCTGCCGGTATCCACCCGCGGACATGCTCGTGTCTGCCGTAGAGAACAGGTTCAGGAATAACCCTGCTAGTTGTGCCCAACGAGCAACAAAACATTACGGGCGAAAAAGCCATCTTCAAGCCCTGTAGGAAAGCATGCGCAACATTCCGAACGGACAACGTGCTCATCCGAGACAGACATGTCAAGCGGGTTTTGCGGCGTCGAAAGAAGTCCCCGCAGCGAAGCCTTTGTACATACCGTAGGTGACATAAGATATCACAACGCTCGATTTCTCTACAGCAGACGGAGTAGCCGTTCTAAAAACGACGGAGTCGAAGGGGTATTGTTGAAAGAGGCCCGAAAACGTATTGCTCCATCTACATAAGTATGCATCCTTTTCCTCGTGGAGTACACTCGAGCTTTGAAAATCGATCAGGGGGTATGGTATCTTACGTCATGTCACCTAGGGGATATACGCGAAACCAGCCGGAGGACTGACCATCCTGGTGTGTGTGTAGAGTCCTTGCGCTGACTTCCGTAGGTTGAGCAGCAACGCCCCCGGCCGGATTGAAAACACCTGCAGAGACATAGGTTTGCAGAGAGCACTCGGTTCTCGGGAGAGAAAGTACGTCTTGCCTAACATCTGTGTCAACAAGTGTTTCTCTTGTATCGTTTCACGCGGGGTTTTGTCTATCGGACGTTTCGATTCCGCCCATCCTCTCGCGGCGTGGTCAGGTGGTGCAGCGTCCGGCGAACGCTGTGAAGGAGCTGATGGAGAACAGCTTGGACGCAGGTGATTGTCATGTCATTCGCTTGCGTATAGCACGCCACACTGCCCACAATGAGGTTTACTGCTGTGCGTGCTCTCTGGAGTGGTCCATATTAGCGTGTTCTCCAGACTGCTGGTATGCGCAGGATGACCACCGTAGAGAGGCAGTAGAGCTACATAGATAGGGCGTCCCTTGCTACGTAGTCAGGACGCCTCGTAGTGCCACGTCTCGTGTCGCACAGGCCCTAATATCATCGACGGGTAAACAGGTAGCGGTAGCGGCGACGGCGATGAAAAGGTACAGAACGTGCCACCGCTCGAAACTCTCACCAGTTTAAACCTTGAGCCTAAAAACATCCTGAATCTAAGAACTTGGCCATAACAACGGATCTCAGTCAAGAAGCCTACCCTAAACCTCTGTAGTCGCCGTGGGGGTACAGCAGTGCCGCATAGACTAGTAATGAGAGGTTCTGCTACGACAGATGCTACTGGTGCGATGGGGTCTAGGCGAGTCACCCTTCCCTCTTCCCGCCACATCGAGCACGAGTCCTGTTCGAGTTCGTTTGACGCGACGAGAACGTGTCGATTTTTTTTTTTGCCATCGCAGGGTCGACGTCCATCACCGTCACCGCCAAGCAGGGCGGGCTGAAACTGCTGCAGATACAAGACAACGGCCACGGCATACGTCGGTGAGGGGGTTTCGACGGTTCGGAGGCGGAACGGGGGGGGGGGCGTACTCATTTGTTGCTTGCCGTAGTCATTTGACCACTGACCACGCGTCCCTTTCGAGACGGAGCACCGTTCCTACCCCTAGTAGAGACACCACCAACATTTGGGAGCTCTTTACGTTTCTGCCACAAACTACATGAAAATTTCTTGCACATCTTATCCCCGTCCTCTACGGCCTCTTGTGCCCACCATCTATCTATCCCCAATTACCGCGATCGTTTTTTCGCTGTTGTCTAATTTACCAAACTTGTCCATGTCACACCCTCTCTGTCTCATGTCCTCCTCGAGATCCTCTCTTTCCTTCCTGTACAGCTCACACTCCCCAACTATGTGGGGTCTACTCTCCTCCGATTTGCCACATGGACATGTCTGTCTATCCTCCTCTTCCTCTCTCCTACGGCTGCTGTACCTCTTCCT